GTCGTGTTGCCCAGGCTTGTGACAGGTGTAGGAGCAAGAAGATCCGTTGTGATGGCATCCGCCCGTGCTGTTCGCAGTGCGCGCATGTCGGCTTCGAATGCAAGACCAGCGACAAACTGAGCAGACGAGCCTTTCCTCGAGGCTACACTGAGTCACTGGAGGATAGGGTTCGTTCGTTAGAGGCGGAGGTTCGTGAGCTGAAGGGGTTGTTGGATGAGAAGGACGAGAAGATCGACGTCTTGTCGCGGCTACAATCATTTTCGTCGTCGCGCAAGACTCCTCCTCATGGCTCGACTGAGCCAGGCTCGTCGCCATCCGATGATGCTTCCCCAGAGAAACGAGAAGACATGATCCATGTTCAACATTCGTGTTCATTGTTGAGAAAACCAACTACAGATGCACCCTTTACTGGCCCATCGAGTACAAGGGCATTCATTGGTAATGGCTCTCCATTTTGTGCAGACATGGCTCCATTTTCCTGTTATTATGTTGATATTACGAGTATGCTGACCGTGTGTATCGTTCTGTAGATGCATTTGCCAACAAGCTGGAACGGAGCGGCAAGTCAGCCGCAGGCATCTCAGCGGAACAATTGCTTGGTCCTCCATCTCTCCCAATATGGGCACATCAAGATGTACCCCCAAGGAGTCCCCCACGACTTGTATCAGACCAACTTATCAATATTTTCTTCCAAGAATGGGCACCGCTATATCCTGTCATCCATCGACCTACCCTGTTGAAAATCTACGGCCAGTATACCAACAACCCTGCGGCATTTGAAGGTGATCCATACTATCTGGCACAGTTGAATCTGATCTTTGGCATTTCTGCCATATCATCTACCGTACGCAGTTGACCTATTTCCCCTGTTGTATCTACGAGTAAACTGCTAACTCCTTATCCAAAAGGCCCGTATCCCGCAGGATCCCGCGCTCTTCGAGCAAAATTGGGTGACTAAGCTTGATGCTCTGGCCGATGACATTTCTCTACCAGCCCTCCAATGCTACATTCTTGGACAGATTTACTACACCATCAAGGCTGATTACAAAAGCCTGCTGCGTTACCGTGGCATTGCTGTTGGGATGTGCCATCAACTTGGTCTGCATCAAAGCCAGAGGAGGTTTTCATTCAGTCCGCTAACCAGCGAAATGCGAAAGAAGGTGTTCTGGTGTCAATATGTTCTTGACCGGTATGTTCTCATCTCAGAATGATTCCTAAAAATATGCATACTCTCCTGGCTGTGCATACCTTGATACTCATATTCTACATCTAGTTTTGCCGCTGCTATGACAGGACTGCCTGTTTTGTTGGCTGAATCAGATGTGTGTGCTGAGTTCCCAGTCGATATTGATGACGAGAATATTACAGAAGGAGGATTCGTCCCCACACTACCTGGCGAACCAACTCGTGTTTCAAGTGCCTTGGCATTGTTCTCGGCAGCACGTATCTTAAGTAAGGTGCTTGCCCAGCTGTACCCTTCACCGGCTGGTTATAATGTTTCTTTGTCCACTGTTCATTCTCTCGGAGAAGAACTTGATGAGTGGCAGAGGAGCCTCCCACAACATCTCCAGCTTGAGTTTACGCAAGATAAACCAAGCACCAACGTCACCGGAAGTCGATCACCTCTTCTTGTAAGCTTGACATCTATATTAGACCGACTCTTTTGCCTGTTGTGCATTCTATTTTACTGACCATCTCGATCAGTCTATAATGTACTACTTCATTCGGTCACTCATTCGACGACCTGCGGTTTGCTTTGCTCCGCAGAACACTGCCTCCCCTTCCATACTGGCCCTAGTAGACTCTGGGAAACATATCATTCAAATCCTTCAACTCTTAGAGGAAAGAAGAATGAGCCTGGCGCTTAGTATTAACAAAAGGGAGCTGTTATTTGCCTCTAGCCTGGGTGTGCTGTGGCAGAACGTGGATCTGGGCCGTGACTGCAAGCTCGTGAAGGAAGGGCAAAAACTCCTTTCCTCGGCCCTATCTCTCCTCGAATGCGAATCTCCTGAAGCTGCTACTGAATTCCATAACATCTTGAATATTGTCTCTCCAGTTGATGACGCCAATCGTGTCAAGCCAGAGCACCAACCACATTCCAACTCAGACATGTCTGCGCCTTCGCCGAAAGTCAAATCGCCCAGGAAAACGCTATCACTAGAATCTCGCCACTCGTTTAACATGAACACGCCTCAGTCCAGCGACACGTCGGCACCCTCTTCGAGTCCAGACCTATGCGAACGCAGCATCAGGTCCTCCAGCTCCCTCAGCATGTCATCATCAGCGAACGCAGAGTTGACGGCGATAACTCCCCGTTCCACAGGTGAGCTTTCTTCGGACTACCTGAACTTGGACTACCTCCCGTTGGGTAACCAGAAGGTCGAACTTAAAGCAACTCCAGGTAACGCACCCGGAGGCGGTTTTAGTATCTCTGATTGGGAGCAAGTCCTTGGAGGCATCGATAACGGACATGCGAACATATTCAATGGAATCTACGGTGGTGGAGAGTGTGGTGATGTCAATGCTGCCGTCTTCGCCCAGCTCACGCCTACATTCCACTTCCCATCAAATCAACCCCAGCCCCCGCAGCAGAGTCTGCAGGGATGGTCTCCGGAAGAGTGGCCGTCCTCTGCGAGCAGTGACTTCAATGCCAGATCTGGACAAAGCGCGATAAGTTATTCGGAAGATAACATCGGTCCTCTCGATGAACTTCCACCGCCTGCACTAAGGACGAAACAATGCGACTCGCTGCCACAGACGACGCAAGTACAGCAGTCTCCGCTGCCACGACACCCAGCACCCACCGACGGACTCGATAATATTATTATGTCACATAATCTCGGGGCGCTGGACAACACACCTGACTTTGGAGGTATCATTGACGCCTGGGATTTACGACAACCTGCGTGAGAACGATTTGAACGTGACGCATAACAATATCCAATGCAGTCTATCTATCTACCCAAGTTACGATGTCCTTCTCTTTTTTTTTTTTTTGGCTTTGGATTTGGATGTGCCGTTTATTGTTTTGTCGTCGTTGCCCTTTGTGTGTATTTTGCTCTTGTCTCCCCCCTTTCCAAGCCTAAAGCGGTTTTGGGTTATGTGTTAAATTTATTTTTTTTTCTCGTCTTCTATTGGTTTTTATGTCTTCTAATACAGCGTTATTAGTCGAGTGGAGTGTTCTCTTTGGTGATATCCCTCAATTATTGGATATGCTGGTTGGTTCGCGTTTTCCTTCTTTATCTGGGTTTGGTGTTTCTCCACCCTTTTTTCCTTTTTTGCTGGATGGTAGGGCGTTTATTTCACAATCTTTCTTGTCTTTTTGCTCTCCCTTATTTTGGTTTCTGGAATGCGCAGCAAGCAAAGCGGGGAACGATTTTACAAGTATATATATATTCAACTTTCTAGCGTTCTGTGGTTTCTTATCCTTTTTGTTTCCCCTTTTTACTTGGAATTTATGTGTATATAGATGTAACATATGATACACCCAGAATATGAGTTTATTACACATATACAAAAGTTACAAAACACTTGCTACTTATTCATACAGACACTTCTAATCTGTGCTAGAAGCACCTTAGTGATCTCCAATGAATCAATACATACATGCATACATGTTCTATCCCGGGAATGCCATGTGGGCGTTAGTGCAACAGCCATGATGGCCCTGGGCCACGCCCGAAAAGAAACGTTAGCACGTGCGAGGGTATCTTGTTCCAAGGTTCCAACTTTGTAGCGAGTTCTTGGATAGCTGTCCTCTTCTCCCCCACCGTTTTTATTTATAAAAAAATACAAAAATGGAGTATGCGGTTGGACTCCTCGGCAAACAAGACGGCCCGTTCTTCTCGTCGTTGAGATATACATATTCCTTCCTGTGAGTTACCTCTCCCCGCTGCACCCCGGGGGGTGTGGGGGGTGGCTGATGAAAGCTTAACTTAAAAACTGAAAAACTACTGTAATAAACCAGCGGGGGAAATCGTTCTATACACCTTCTGGAAAACAAGAACCGAAATGTTCCTAAAATAAATTAAAGCAAAGCCAACCAAGGCGGGCGCCCAGCGGTGGCTTCTTGCAGGGGCAGAGATGATGGCGGGCGCAGGAACAGAATCCACCGCCACCGTTGTGATTTGGTTTGTGTTCTTCTGCGCCTCAACCGCGGGACAGGTGTTCCTCTGCGATTGGGCCGCGATCGGAGAGATCGAGGTGCCTTTGTATATATTGAGTGTCTGTTGTACTGTACCAGGGTTATAGGAACACGGATTATCGGCCCATGAGCAACTTGTGATCGGAGGCGTTCGGGGGGATCCGAAGATCAATGAGTTGCCGATCCGAACCTGGGGGAGGGAGAGATCCGGGATAGTGGAAAGGTGGGGATAGGCTGATAACTCTCTCCGAAACTCTGGTCTGCCGCTCCTGTCAAAGGATTTCTGTTTTCTAACGGCCAATCCGTTCGTAATTATCTTATAAATCATTACATTGAGTAATTATATGAGCTGGAATCTATAGAATGCGATATATTGCCTAAGTTAAGTGATACTTTTGTTAGTTAACTTAAGAAGAGCTAAATATCAGTTAATCTTGTGGATAGTTCTAGCTCTGCTTGGCAAATAAAATTAACATGAATCTCCACATCCGCGTTTCGAGAGCAAGTTGAGATTCAGAAGGTATTTGGTGCAGACGACTGGCCATTCTTACATGTTGCCATACGGAGTACTGTAATCCACAAGCAAACCGATAATAGAGCGGGCCATAACAAAATAGATTCAAATTTCAATTTTATACTCTCTTATATCTCAACATTTTTATGTAGAAATAGTTTATGAGAATTATACTGTTGAGATTAATATATAACTATTTAAGGAAGTCAATGTTTTTGAAGATCTTCTAGTTGTTAATTTTTATCAGATATTCTCTAATATTGAAAAACTATCTTTATAAATAATGCAGTAGATTAGATAAAACTGATAATGTACATAGACCTATTTATAACAGTCTACATCCTAACTATATAAAATCTGTTTTGAGACGGCCCGCTCGATTGTAGCCTCCGTTTCGCCTTGTACGCTGGCGGAACCACAGGACAGGTAACTCGCAGCCATACCGCTGGACCAGTAAACCCTATTTATAATTTCGATATCCTTCCGCCGGCACCTTTTCCACGGTTGTGGCCGACCATCGGGCCACGGGTACGAAGCCTCGGCTGCCTCGCTACCTTTTGCGTTTGGTAAAGTCATTTGTCGGAACTGGATAAAGTCCGAATATTGACCCAAATACTGAATATCAATGAAATAAATTGAATTGCTCATATTAACTCCAGTAATTACATGATAACCAGGCAGTATTTATAAGAAAGAGAATGCTTGGATATATGATGGGGGGCAGTGCTGGTATACATCGGACCAGTGATCCGGTTTCCAGAATTGAGATAATAGAAGATCCTTGCTAATGTAATCATCAGAATACTAGATATGATATATCATTTCTCACATACCCCCTTCAGCAGAATAACATCAGTAATGAAGCTGAAAAAATTACCAGAATAGAAAATGATGTAGAAGACATGATGATTAATAGAATGAAAAAGAAATAGATAAAGGAGATATATGAGAATGTTGAATTCCTCCCATCCAAGCTTGTTGTGTTTTTATACCTTATTTTGTTATTTTATTGACAAGATCAGTTATATCAATTAATTCTATCTATTTGATGAATTCTCTTTGCTTCTGTTGTGATAATGGTTTGGTCAACCCGTCCGCTGGCATGCTTGTTGTAGGCGTCCATCACACCGAGATATCGCCGGATTGTATCCGTTCTCGCAATCAGTTGCCATAGATATCAATGTGGCGTAATTTGGTTGTGATAGAAGGATCTTCCTTAGTAAGGATGCCAACTGTTTGTCGATTATTGCATTGGATTGAAATCTTGTGCTCTGAATCGAATCCCAGATGATCAAAGAATTGTTTCCATCAAATTGACTCCTTGCCTGTCTGTGATATAGCTAGTAGTTCAGCTTCAATGGTGGAAGTTGTTATTCTCTGTTTCTTTGACTTCCAATCAACAGATTCTTCAAAAAGTTTGAAGATGTAATCTTCTGTTGATCTTTTATCTGAATTATCCGCGAAGGAGACATCACTAGCTGCTTCAATCTGTCGGAACTGGATAATGTTCAAATATTGACCCAAATACTGAATATCAAAATAGAATATTGAATTACTTATTATTTATTATTATTCTGATAATTACATGATAAGTAGACAGTATTTATAAGAAAGAATATGCTTGATTATACAAGCAAAGCAATGCTTTAATGCACAGCAAGGCAATTTCAAAGAAAGTGAAGTAAATAAACAACAAAGTAGAATCTCTAATTCTTGATATATGAGATATCAATTCTGACATACCCTCTTCAGCAGAATAACATTAATAATGAAACTGAATAAATTATCAGAATAGAAAAAAATATAAAGAATATGACAATCAAAAAAAAAAAAAAAAAAAAAAAAAATATATATATATGAAATGAATAAAGAATATATATGAGAATGTTAAATTCCTTCTATTCAAACTTGTTGTGTTTTTATACTTTATTTTGTTATTTTATTGACAAGATCAATTATATTAATTAATTTTATCTGTTTGACAAATTCTCTTTACCTTTGTTGTGATAATGGCTTGGTCAATTTGTCTGCTGGCATGTTGCTTATAAATGTTCATTGTACTGAGATATCACTGAATTGTACCCGTTCTCACAACCAGTTGCCGTAGATATCAATGTGGTGTAATTTGATTGTGATAGAAGAATCTTCCTTAGTAAGAATGTCAACTGTTTGTCAATTATCACATTGAATTTAAATCTTGTGCTCTGAATTGAATCCCAGATGATCAAAGAATCATTTCCATCAAATTGACTCCTTGCCTACCTGTGATATAGCTAGTAGTTCGGCTTCAGTGATGGAAGTTGTTATTATTCTCTGTCTCTTTAACTTTCAATCAACAAATTCTTCAAAAAGTTTGAAGATGTAATCTTTTGTTGATCTTTTATCTGAATTATCCGCGAAGGAGGTATCACTAACTGCTTCAACCACATTCATTGATAAGCCATCATTATCAGATACGCTATATTCAATCATTATATTCTTTGAATCTCGCAGATAAGTGATAACGCGATCGATCTCTGCAGGCCAAAATTCGATTCGCGACAAGGCTTCAGGTGGTGGATGAGAAGCACCCACTGGCTTCACGGATAGCACCTCCAATGATCACACGAGGAAGAGGGGCTGGAACCCGGCAGCGCTCAAAGACCAAGATCCAGCGGTTGGGGGCGCTGCTACCTGCAGTCAATAGACCCACACTTGCCATCCCACACTACTCAGAGGGATGCGGGACAGACCCCACAGAGGGTGTAGACAAAAAGAGTGCTGCTCAGGCATTCAAGGAATGGTGGAGAAGTCAACCCTCAACAGATCTATATGTTTTCTCAGATGGATCAGAACGGAACCTTGACAACAGCAGGCAGGTGGGCTATGGCTTCATAGTCTATCAGGGAAATAAACAGCTGGCCAGCTTCTCAGCTGCGCTGAGCCCTATGTCACATGTCTTCGACGCTGAGGCAGTTGGTGCCTGCCGGGCATTGGAGTGCGCCGTGAAGCTCCTACCTTGTGTCACAGAGGACAGCAGCAACCCTCAGATCTGGCTCTGCCTCGACAACACCTCAGTCATCTGGGGCATACGGGGCAGTGCAGCAGCCTCCTCAAACTGGGCCTACAACCGCTGCCATGAGCTCCTCAGACAGCACAATGTCGGCCTGAAATGGGCTCCTGGGCATATGGGGATAGAGGGCAATGAGGAAGCAGACCGCTTGGCTAAGCGGGCAGTCTCATCCACTGCAGCCCCAGCCTATGGTCTCGAGGCCACACCCACAGTCAGTGGGGTCCGCACAGTGGCCAAGCAGCTCAGCCAAGAGGCAAGGCGAAAGTGGTGGAGTGGAGCCTGTGGCAGGCTCTCTGACTGGTACCGGGGCTGGAGTTTCAGCAGGCCGACTGTGGAATACCAAGTGAAGGCCCCTCCGGAGCTCACCATGCCACGGCATGCCCTTCACCGCTGGCTCGCACTCCGCTCCTCTCATGGGGACTTCTCCTGGTACCACAGGCGTTTCCAGCATGCAGATGCGAGGCTCACCTGTGTCTGTGGACACAACAAGAGCCCAGAACATTTGGTGCTCTGTCGACACTCACAGAGGCACTTTCTTCACTGGCCCAAGAGGCCAGCAGCACGGCCACACAACCGGGCGACAGCTGTTGCCTATCTAGGGTCTCTGACCCCTACAGACTTTGTAGAACTGCTGGACTGCACGCAGTTCTACACACGGTACTGCACAAGGTAACGCAGCCGGCTGGCTGCAAACCATCTGACAACCCCCGCAGCAGTTCCACGAGGCCGGCCTGCTGAGTACACCCACGGTAGCTAGTGCAACTGCCAGGGACATCACAGTCTATGCAGACAGTACAGATAGCACAACTAGGCTCATCTGTCTCAATTAGCTGTGGTGTAATCAGTACAGTCTACGTGTCTGACTCAGCTGATATGGTTTTGACTGCCGGCATTGTATCTACGCGTGCTCTGCTTTGTTTTCCTCTCGTTTGCCCTTGTCTCTATCGGCTCAAATGCTTCTTCTTCCTTCTTTTCTTTGCTCTCTCTGTCATTCTCTGCTCTTTTCCTGTCACAACCTTCTTCAGTGCTCTCTCCTTCATTATTTATCTTGTCTGTCTTTCTTCTGATGTTAGAAGCACAGACAGCTTTCTGATCAACTGAGAGAGGTATCCCTCTCTGCTCACTATAAAGCCTTCCAGGCACGGCAGCGGCGGTCCCCTCAGGGAACCACACTATAGCCCCACCATGAATGGCCATACGTCGGGCCAGAAGTGGATGCGCAGCTCAGAAAAATCCTTTGCAATGAGCTGAGTCTTCTCAAGAGTTGCCACCTGGATTCTGTTTTCTCTCTCTGTGTACATAGAAATCTCTCCAGCGTAGCACGTCTCCATGCCCTTCGGGAGGCTTCTGAAACACGGGCGCTGCCCGTGTTTTCTCCGGGACGTTAAACCTATACATACATACATACATCTGCAGAATGACACTCAGAAGAATTGATCATATAAATTGTGAGCTTGTCAATTGTATATACAATATCTGATCTAATCATCACTGCGGTGTAGATATAGAATCTGATTCAATGTTGATAATAATGAGTATTCTTTAACAATGCGGTTCCTTGATAAGATGTTAATGAGATGTTAGATAGAGGTGTTGATGCTTTGTGAGTATGAGCAAGATGATAAGTGTCAATCAACTTATCAATATAAGCATTTTGACAGAGTCATAACTTCTTAGAGCTTCGGTCTCTAGTAATTCTCATATTAAGAAACCATTCAGGGTTTTCCATTTGTTGAAATTCATATATATTTTTAAGATCTTTAATTAACTGGTCCTTTTCCTCTCTGTCATCAGAGTGAGATACCACAACAGTATCATCAATGTAGAAGAATATAATTATCCGTCTGTTGGTGAATAGGCATTTATTCTCAAGAATTGAAATGAAGTCTAATTGTTTAAGAGTATTAGATAGTTCTTTAAACCATAGAAGGGGTGATCTTCTTAGATTATATAAAACATATTGTAGATGTAGAATATAGATGTTCTTTTTGAGATTTCATACCCCCTTCAACTTCCATCAATCATCTGATAATTCAATGTAAACTAGCTCATCAAGTGAGCTGTTCACAAAGGCATTGACATCATTCAATTGCTCAGCATCAAGATCAAAGGTGTTGATAATAATATGAAAGATTCTTGCAGCTAGAGTGTGAGCTTTGATATCTAGATCAGATATTGATTGTAAATCACCTTGAACACAAATACAAGCTTTGAACTTGATGAGATAACCATAATCATCAAATTTATGGATGAATACCCATCATAATGGAATCACTGGAGTATCTTTCGAAGGTCTATTAACAATTTCATAGGTATTTTGCTGGGTTATAGAGTCCCATTCCCATTTGACAGCATTAATCCATTCATCGCAATAGGGGTGCTTGTTGACATCATTCCAATGTTGAGATGGATCAGGTAACTGAGATTGATGAATTTTGAAAGGTTCTGATCTAGATAGAGGTTCCGCAAAGGCAGCATTGATCATCCGATTTGAATTCTCTTTGGCAAGAGATACTGCTATATGATGGGTTGCCTTGCGCGTTCTCTTACCCTCGATTATATTGAATTCGTTGAAGTCAGAACTGATCTCATTCGCCCTAGGCGCTCGATTGTGTGATAATATCGGATGAGTATCAATAGGAAGGTCAGGTTCGATAGCAGTGTTAGAATCAGGTTCAGAGGTAGGATCCGGTGTAGGTAGGATATCTGCCATAAGTTGCGCCTCCAGCGCCTCGTTGATATCTTTGTTATCTTTATCAACGTTCTCCGTACGCGGGGGGATCTCATCAGGACGAAAAATATTGATATCTGAGCATAAATTATTCTCTTATTGAGGAGTGCCAACCCTTGGTTCTTGTACTTCAATATCCAAGAACTCGACCTCTTGAACAACCCAATCTCGCAGCTGTTTTTCAATGTGAGGTTCATCTGGGTTATATCGTCTATTTTCATTGAATATAACATCCCTTGTCCTTATCACCCTATCTAGGTGAGGAATCCAAATCCTAAAGATGTTTGTAGAATCATATCCCACAAGATATCCAATATGAGCTCTGGGATCGAGCTTCTGTGATCGATTTCGATTGAGGATCTCATTGGGGATCTTAGCGTATGCTCGACATCCGTAGGCATGTAAGTGAGCACAAGAATGGTGGTCAATATGAAGATATTCTTCTAGTGCTCGGAGTGGCGATTTCCATCCTAGTATCTTGGTAGGGGTCCTATTCAGCAAGTAAACGGCAGCGGTTGCTATCTCAGGGAACAGTGATTGGGGCAACAAGGATTCTATTCTAAGAGCCCTTGCTCTAGTGGTTATGATAGCACCTGCCCGTTCAGCAGCACCGTTCTGCTCATGGATATATTCCGAGGAGTATTCGATCTCTAGGCCCAGCTCGATTACCCAGTCCTTAAAGATATCAGATTCTTTGATAGCTCTCTCATTGTCGATTCGTATGACCTTTGTTTCACAATCAAATTGGCGTTTAATCCACCTTAAAACCTTGTCGAAAGCTTTCCTTATATCAGGTTTTCTCAAGGCTGTTACTGTGATATGGAAACGAAGATAATCACATACAAAATGTATGAGCCATCGTTCTCCGTTGTAGCAGTAGGAAGGTCCTTGTACAATATCTGCATGGAGTCGTTCGAAGGGTAGTTTAGATCGTATATGGGGACGGTGAGATATTTGATTCTTTGCTTTGGCAAGATGGCAAGGTTCGCAGAGTTCTTTGTCTTCAATATCAATGTTCTTTGCGATATCTTTGATATCTGATATCTGAACCCCTTTGGCATCGATTGGCAGATGTTCAACTGCTCTCATCGAGGAATGTTCTAGGCGTTGATGCCAAATCTTGGAGGAAGCAGTAGAGCTTTTTGAGGTGTATGAAGAAGTAGTTGATGATTTTGATATCTTAGTAGGTTCTGATTGGGATATTCTCGCAGGTTCTGCTGGTTTGCTAGATGGGCCAATATTAGTGAGCACTAAGGTGTTCTCTCTAGTTCTGTGATATTCTCAGTAACCAGCAATCCGCCGTATACTTCTATGTGAGCAAAGATTGAATTATCGCTAATCCGTGAGAGAATGGAATGTACGCAGCATTTCTAAGAATCACTCTGAACTGCTTGCCGAGATTGTTGGTCATTGTAGATTCAAACAGTTCCATATCCCACAGCTTTTGTTGTCGAATCTCCTGTATAAATCTACTCTTCTGATGGTTCGTACGTTAGGAATCTAGATCGATTATTGCAGATATGTCACTCAGCACCAGTATCGAATATCCAGGAATCTCGAAGATAGGGATGTTGGTTGGAAGGAAGCTCTCGACATTCACATTTAGACATCTTGTCAATTGATCGACAGGTACAGTATCGGAAGTGATCGAAGATTGATCAGTAGGATGATTGATAGAATGATTGATAGATTCCTCATATATTTCTTTAGAAGAATCATTCCTCTTAGCATCTGTTCTATCATCTCAATATTAGAAGCAGTTATTTTGCTTATCATTGTATCTATCTTCTTCTTGATATCTTCATTCTTGAGTGTCTCATTCATCTTTTTACATCACTGTTCATTCTCCTTCCATCCTTCTGATCTCTGACTTGGGTTGAGATAATAACATTTGACTCAGAAATGTTTAGAACTACAAACACAGATTCTTGATTTTGATTGTTCTGTTTATCTATCATTTAAAATAGCAAGATTGAATATTAACAGTTCTGATTTTCTGTATCTCTTCTTGCAATATTCAGAATGGAAGTCATTGATCACATCTGTAAAGAAGAAGTTCTTCTTACCTTCTATCTCAATTTCTCTCTTTCAAATAGCAGTGTATGAATTATTGATAGACATGTTGATATTGAAGAAGTTTTTTCATACATCAAAGTTGCCATCTATATCAGAGTTCTTGATCTCTATTTCAATCAGAGTTCAAATATTTAATCATTGATTTAGATTCTGTTTAAACAGTTTCTGTAAATTCTGATATTTCTTCTGTATCTCATACTGATAATCTGCTTTGTTAGAAGATAATCTCTTCTTAAGAGCAATTAAAAGATTCTTCACATCAATGTGATCATTTTCAGAAATTGCTATTTTTAACTCACTGACTGTCATTGTTCTGAGGATTTTCTGATTGATCTTGCTAACACCTTTGAGTTTGCTCCGATAGATGTTGATGTCATTGTTATATTTGATATTCTCCATCTCTCATTTAATCTTTGCTTCCATAGTATGCTCAGTAGAGAACTCTAAAGGAGTAGGTTTGAGTATATCACTCATTTTATTAGATCTTTTCTCACTAACAAGATTCAATACTTGAAGCTCTGTGGCAAGTTCTAATATTTTGTATTATAAGTTTCAGCTTCTGAAAGAATTCAGAAAAAGTGTTGTCTTTGAAGATGAATTTTCTGCTGACATCTTGATCAGTTGTATATAGATTTAAAATCGATATAGAATCTAATGAATAATCAATATAGAATCGAATGGATATAATCGATATAAGATTGTACAGATATAACTAATATATGATTCGCTGTTGTCTCTCGCTGATATGTAGATCGATGAGATTGAATAGATATAAATATAGATATATTGCTGCAATCATCGCCGATACAGAGGTCAGTGAGGTCGAATAGATAGGTATAATCAAATAAATATTAAGATAGATATAGATATCTTTGCTGATAAGGAGGTCGGTATGAATAGATATCAATATAGTAATAGATAGCTACCCGGGCTCATAACTGTCGGAACTAACAAAGTCTAAATATTGTCTCAATTACTGAATATCAATAAAAATAATTGAATTGCTTTTTCTAACTCCGATAATTACATGACAATTAGACAGTATTTATAAAAAAAGCCATACTCAAATATACACAAGAGATAACATTGAGAATCAATGGGGCATTGCTTGATTTCATCAAGTAAGATGTTTCAGATTTCAAGTTGCTACAGAATCCTTGATAATCAAACTTATCAAATTCTATAGAACTTACTAAGTTCTTGACATACTGCTATATGATGAGTTGTCTTGCGCGTTTTCTTACCCTCGATTATATTGAATTCGTTGAAGTCAGAACTGATCTCATTCGCCTTAGATGCTCAATTGCTAGATGATAATATTGGATGAATATCAATAGAAAAATCAGGTTCGATAGCAACGTTAGAATCAGATTCAGAGGTAGAATCCGGCGTAGATAGAATATCTGCCATAAGTTGCGCCTCCAGCGCTTCATTAATATCTTCATTATCTTTATCAACATTCTTTGTACGTGGTGGGATCTCATCAGAATGAAAGATATCAATATCTGAGTATAAATTATTTTCTTATTGAGAAGTGTCAACCCTTGATTCTTGAACTTCAATATTCAAGAACTCAATCTCTTGAAAAATTCAATCTCATAACTGTTTTTCAATGTGAGGTTCATCTGAGTTGTATCATTTATTCTCATCAAATATAACATCCCTTGTTCTTATCACTCTATGTAGATGAGAAATTCAAATTTTAAAAATGTTTATAAAATTATATTTCATAAAATATCTGATATAAGCTCTGGGATTGAGCTTTTGTGACCGATTTCAATTGAAGATCTCATTGAGAATCTTAGTGTATGCTCAATATCTGTAGACATGTAAGTGAGTATAAGAGTGATGGTTGATATGAAAATATTCTTCTAATACTTGAAGTGGCAATTTTCATTCTAGTATCTTGATAGAGGTTCTGTTCAACAAATAAACAGCAGCAGTTGCTATTTCAGAGAACAGTGATTGAAGCAACAAGAATTCTATTCTAAGAGCTCTTGTTTTAGTTATTATGATAGCACCTGCCCGTTCAGCAGCACCGTTCTGCTCATGGATATATTCCGAGGAGTATTCGATCTCTAAGCCCAGCTCGATTACCCAGTCCTTAAAGATATCAGATTCTTTGATAGCTCTCTCATTGTCGATTCGTATGACCTTTGTTTCACAATCAAATTGGTGTTTAATCCATCTTAAAACCTTGTTGAAAGCTTTCCTTATATCAGATTTTCTCAAGGCTGTTACTGTGATATAAAAATGAAGATAATCACATACAAAATGTATAAGCTATCATTTTCCATTGTAGCAGTAGAAAGATTCTTATACAATATTTGCATGAAGTCATTGGAAGAGTAGTTTAGATCATATATGAGAGCGGTGAGATATTTGATTTTTTGCTTTGATAAGATGGCAAGATTCACAGAGTTTTTTATTTTTGATATCATTGCTCTTTACAATATCATTAATATATGATAGCTAAACCTCTTTAACATCAGCTGATAGATGTTCAACTGCTCTCATAGAGAAATGTTTTAGATGTTGATGTCAAATCTTGAAAAAAGCAGTAGAGCTGTTTGCAGTATAAAAAGAAGTAATTGATGATTTTGTTATCTTAATAAATTCTGCTGATTTGCTAAGTGAGGCAGTATTAACAAGCATTAAAATGTTCTCACTAATTCTTAATCCATTGTACACTTCTATATAAATGAAAATCAAATCATCACTAATTCTCTGCAATCTGAACAATTTGCCATTGAGATAAATTCTCTCTATATGATAACAAGGTTTCCTGACAATCAAGTTGGTGTGAGAGAATGTTATTATTATTATTATTTTTTCATTATAAATGTATGCAGTCAGTGACTATGACATCTATCTAAAATACTTCAGAATTTTTCAACTTGAGATTATTATTATTATTATTCTTCTATTATAGATGTATGCAGTCAGTGATTATGACATCTACCTGAAATACTTCAGGATTTTTCAACTTAAGAATAAGCTAATATACAAAGTCAATTTAATACATGCAATAGCAGAATTCTAACCCAGAATCAAACAACTATTCAAACTATTCAATTTAAGAAAGAATGTCAAAAGAATGACAACAGATCAATACATTCAATTCAAAACAAATGAAATGAAGAGTATAAAAAACAGCAGCTATTAAAAGAAAAGAAAGTATTTACAAATCAAACTTTTCAAAACAAGTCAAAATCAAAAGTAATCAAAATGAAATAGATTTCAAAGGAACAGTAACAAAATAAAAATAAAAACAAGAACAAAAATTAAAGCAAATATATAGAAATAAAAGAAAAAAAAAATAAAAATTGAATTCATTATCAGATTAAACTATTCAATTGAAATCTTGTAGCAATATTTGATTCTTTCAAATATTCAATCAAGAATTCATTTCCAGTTTTTGTATTGAACAAAAGTTTTAAATTTAACTGTGTCAATTCAAACTTCTCTCTCAATCTCAATCTTAACTCTGTATGCTTTGTACAAAGTAAAAGAAGATGCTCTGGGTTTTCATATAACTGACAATTTGAACATAAATCTTTTAAATCATTTCTAATCTTTGTTAAATATGATTTAAAATAACCATGTCTAAGTTTTAGCTGCATTATTGTAGCAAAAAGTTTCTTTTTACATTTTATTGAGCAAGCTTTCCATTTTGGCTTAGTTTCAAACCTGGAATAATGTACACTCTTTTTTTGTAAAAACCAGATATTTTGCCATTTTTGCAAACATGATTCTCTTATTTTTATGTGAATATAAGCCCAGGTTACAATTCTTTGAAAGCAGACGGCCAA